TGGTGAGATTTAATATAAAAAAATTGCGAACTAAAATACACGGCTTATAAACGATTAACAGTGTAGGCCCATTAAAAATCACTAATGGGCCTTACCAATACAGATCGTCGTCCTCTCAGTTAAATACCACTTACAGAAGAAAACCCTAATCACTGAGGAGAAAAACCTAATAGCATTGCCGCAGATTTGCCTGAGAGAGCGCCGAATCCGTCTTCAGAAGAACCCTCGTTAGCAACTATGGGTAATAATCAATACTCTTTAAACCTTATGATTCGTATTCGATTTCTTCATTTGCTGTATTTCTGTTTGTTGATGTATGTCTCTTGATTTGTTGGTAATGGTTAGGTAAGGTTCACGGTTCCTTGGCTCGTGCCGGTAAGGTGAGAGGACAGACTCCGAAAGTGGCCAAGCAGGACAAGAAGAAGAAGCCACGTGGCCGTGCCCACAAACGGATGCAACACAATCGCCGTTTCGTCACCGCCGGTAAGATATATTCCGTTTTCTCTTTTTGTTTTCTTAGATTTCTGATCGAGCTTGTTAGTTTGACCTATTGTCTCGGTAGTATCATGATTTATTAATCCAATCGTTCACTGTTCTTTGAGATCTGGGTATTTGAATGAAAATATTGGCTAAGTTCATAACATTTTGTAGCTGATATTGCTTAGTTATGTTAGTGTATTAGCTTCTGTTATGATTCTTGTTGATGAATCTGTAATCGACCTTGTATCCATTTCTATACAATGGGCTTATTATTATCTTGACTCATATGTTTACTTTCATAGAATTCTGAAATTTATTGCTACATTTCAAAAGATCATTCTTGTTTGCATATGAATTTTTTGTTTATTCTTTTTTTCTCTCCACAAGAAAATGTTAAAACTTTGTCAATAGCTAACTGGTTTTTAATTATTATATCTTCTATTCAGTTGTTGGATTTGGCAAGAAGAGAGGACCCAACTCCTCTGAGAAGTAGACGATGAACATTGTGGTGGGAGGTTGAAGTTTTGCGGTTTTCTTTAGATGATGAACGTTGTGGAACATTGTGTTAAGTGTTTTTATGGGTCTTTCGAATTCTGCAATATTCCGTATGTTATAGATTACCTATTTGGTTCTTCTCTTTAGACAATGTTATTTTCTCAATTAAATCGACTTCATCCCATTTACTCTCTTTTTTCGATTGATGCTTATGCTTACAAATCAGATTGGAAGCATTCTAATACGAGTTAGAAATGTAACTAACGTAATGTTAGATGCAAAATTATTCAAAATAAAGTGATAT